AAAAAAAAAAAGCCCAATCAGCTGGATTAGGAAGATGTAGAAAAAAAAAAAGTAGTGTATTTGAAACAGAGGACTTGGGAATCAAAGTTTAATGTCAAGTACTTACATTATGATCAAAAAAATTTACTGCTAGGTGCTTACATTATATACACCCTCTAATGACCTTATCCTAATTTGATTATATTGCAGAGACAACCATTTCCAAAAATGTCATATTCACAAGTTTGGTGTGGGCTTAGGATTTCAATATGAAGGGAGTGGCTCAATTCACTTACTGTTGATGAGAAACCACATAAACTATGTTCTAAGGTCAGAACAGAATTAAACGAAAAAGAAGTCAATAACAGAAAAATAGGTGGAAAATTTCAATATATTTGGAGATTAAACACACACTTCTAGTCAATGCAGTCATGTACTGCATATACATTTCAGTTAACAACAGACTGCATATATGTATAATAGTAGTCCCTGTCGAGAGCCCAGGTGTGTAGTAGACTATGCCTTCTAGGTTTGTTAAGTATACTTTGTCTTTGGCATAATGATGAAATTGTCTAACAATACATTTCTTAGAACAAATCCCTATTGTTAAGCAATACATGACTATTCATGGGTCAATTAAGAAGTCTCCAGAGAAATTATAAAACATTTTTGAGGACCCTCCCAGGGTTCTCCCAAAGTCCTGATTTTAGCCGCTAGAAAGGTGAGATAATAATTTTCTTTTTCTTAAACCAACCACTTTATAGTTCTTTGTTAAAGCATTACTTCTAGGAAACTAAAACAATTTCTGTTCATTTAAATTTATTAATGTTCATTGTATGACTCAGAATGTGACCTCTCTTGGTGAATGCTCCTTCTGACTTTGAGATGAATGTGTATTCTGTTTTTGTTGGATGGAGTATTCTCTAAATGTCAATTACTTCAATTTGATTGATAGTGCTGCTCAGGGCAATTATTTCTTTACTGATTTTCTGCCTACTTGAACTATCAATTACTGAAAAAGGGGCAAAGAAGTCCCCAAATACTTTATTGGATTTATCTATATCTCTTTGCAGGCCTATTAGTTTTGCCTTATGTGCTTCAAGGTCCAGCTTTTAGATGCATACTCATTAAGGATTGTTATGTTTCCTCTGTGTCCCTGATCATTTTCCTTGTTCTGACCTTTGATTGAAATTAAACTAGCTATTCTAACTTTTTTAGTTATTAGCAATAGTTTCTCTTTCTCTGTCCCTTGATTTTTTCACTTTAATCAGTTTTAATGTCTTCACAATTTGATGGATATATTTCATATACCTACCATTGTTCGCCATAGTGGCTGTGCAATTTTATATTGCTACCCACATAGTACAAGGGTTTGAATTTCTCCACAGCTTCATAACACTTGCTATTATCCATCTTTTTTATTATAGTAATCCTAATGGATTTGAATTAGCATCTCATTGTGGTTTTGATTTGCATTTCCCTGAAAACCAGTTGATTTTTTAGTTGTATGTTGTTTCACTTTTTAAGTTTTATTAGCTATGTGTATATTCTAGACAGAAATCTCTTATGAAATATAAAGATCTGCAAAATTTTCTTCTGTGTGGTCTGTTTTTCACTTTATGAAATCTTATGAAACAAAAAAATTTCAATTTTTATTGTACCACTTATTGACTTTTCTTTTGTTGCTCGTATTTTTTTTTTTTTTGCTATCCTAAGAAATCAATCGTTACCTAACGCTAAGTGATGAAGACTTACATCTATGTCTTCAAAGGACTTTTAAGTTTTACCTCTCTGGATTAGGTCTTTGATTTGTTTTGAATTATATGTATATGATATAAGATAAGGGTGTTATGGGGAAAAGATCAGGGAGAAGTTCTCACCCAAGTAGGATTTGGTGTTTTTTTATAACCTGTTTTTCCAGGCTATTCCTGACCCAGGGACTTCATCCTTGGTGGTGTAATTGGTTGGAACATCAGATTTTCAGCCAGCTTCTACCTTTAGGTGGTGTCTGGGTTCTGTTTGCCCTGTTTCCACATTACCTGGAATTCTGTTAACTCTAGGTCTTGTAGACCCATGGCCTGGCTTCCATGGTGATATTATTGCATTTGCTTCCTTATCTACTCAATGTCTCCCAGCATTGTCTGCTAAGCAAAATGCAGTGACTGCATTTTAGTTTTATCAAACGTACCCCAACAAAGGGTACACTCTTTTACATGAGGGAATCTAGTTATCCAAGTATTATTTGTTGAAATGACTATTTTCTCATTAAATGGTCTTGGCACCTTTGCTGAAGATCAGTTGATCTTAAATGTAATTTACTTATGAGCCCTCAATTTTATCAAAACAGTTTGAAATTTTTGACTACTTTGTGTGTTCCAGGCACAATCCTAAGCACACATTCACTTATTGCTTGTATTAACTTCATGAGAAGGGCATTACTCTCACTTCTGTTTCACAGATGTAGTAGTTTAGACATATAATGATTTGCCCAAGACCACAGAGCTCTAACAGTAAGGTCACATAGGCCCTGCCCTTCCGCAGGCTGACTTGAGAGGTTAAGCCCTTGACCATGTTGTAAAGAAATGTAAGACATCAGAACTTAGAATCTTGCTGAATATAGTACATTCTAAACAAAACGGTGGGGTGGGATGGATCACTACATTTGGAAAAGCACAACAGAGTTGGGCTTGACTAGCTTCCTTCCTGATGAGTATTAGAAATAAAACTGACTTCCTTGGTTGAAATCCCCCCAAACCTCATTTTAATCATCTTTAAGCCGATGCACAGCATTGACTTCTTGGGTTGCTCTGGTACTGCAGTCATGAATCTCATTAGCGCTTACAGCTGAGACGCGAAGCTCAGCTGTGCCTCTTCCCAGCGGAAACCTTAAACCATCCTCGGCCCTGAATGCAGAAGTGGGTCCAGTTACCGCTGAAGATTGGAGAGCACCTGAGATGTAGTAAACTCTCGCGGGAAGATGCGTCGTTGCCATAGTAACGGCGTTGCCATTACAAAAGATGGCGGGGAGAAACCTTGGACTCAAGGTTAGTTCCTCGCCAGGTTCTGTTTGGCTACCAGGTTACGGTGAAGCTGAACTTAATGTCTGAATGTAAGTCTCTTTTACAGAGACGGAGCGTTTCAGGGACTGCGCCCCAGCCACGCGTTCAGCAGCCTGGTACGCGTCGACTGGACCTCCTCGCCAGGGAGGAAGAATATAAGTAAGAAAGTCGGCAGTTCAGCCGTTTCTTTTTCTTTCATCTCCATAAGGCTGCTTATAAGTGCTTTTCCTGGCGACCTGACTCTTGTACCCTCACTATCCTGTCTTCCCCTCTCCCCTTTTTCCTTTCACTTGAGTTCGCCTGCGTCCTCCGCGGGGCGAAATTTAGTCTTAGTAAATATGTTTGCGAGATGCCACTGGTAGCTACAAGTTTTGGGATAAAAGAAATACCACGAATAGTTCAAGTAATTTCTTAGTTTAAGTAATTTCACGTTCCTAGAGTTTGAGTATGTACATTTCATACAGCCTTGGTTTCTAAATTTTCTTGGTGCATTTGGAATTAGCGTTCTTACCCATATTTGGTTAGTTGGGAGGAGGCTTTCCTGATATGCTCTCGTGTAATTACACCTATTAATGACAACACACACGTACTTTCATTCTTGAAGCATTTCATTCTTTATTCCCCAGTTTTCACACGCCAGAGTAATCTTTGCAATTTGATCAAGTCACTGCTTTGCTTAATATTTTGCTGTGTTTTCCTGTTGCTTTTCAAAAATTTGCAAGTCCTGGCCTCTGCCTCTTGTTTGAACTTATATCTTCACCTTTTTGCCTCTCAGCGATAGCCTCAATAAACTTTTAGTTCCTAGTCACACAAGTTAATCCTGTAATGACAAAGTGGCCTTCCTTGGCATGCTAAGTAGGTTCCATCGTTACTCTTTTGTCGTAATTTTTCTTTGGAATTAATATACTTTGTTACAACACAACGTACTCACTTGTTAGCTTAAGTATTATCTGTTTCTTCCAAAGAACAGTGAGTTCTACAAGGTTGGAGACCCGGTCTTTTATTTGCCATTGTATTTACTCCCCACAAAACTATATTTTAATAACCCTTTTTAAAGTACCTAATTGAAATATTGCAAAACATCCTGGCAGTTCCTCAAATGCAGAGTTAGCTTATGGCATGTATTTAAAATTAAAAAACAGTTGAAGTTAAAATTGACGTGTGCTGCTTTTAGAACTAGACACATGCCAGCTTGCAGTAGTATGTAGGACCATAATCATCCTCCATTTGATGAAATAGGCCCACTCTTCCAGTTTGAGAGTGCATTTAAGAAAACAGTTTGCTGTCCATACAGTTCTGAGTCAGCTGTATTCAATAAAAAGCAATTGTTTTCATTACTGTCACCAGATAACACTACTGCATTGATTTATTTAGTTAATTTCTTCTAGGATATATTTTTCACCTGGGTCTGCTGTATGGTGAAGAACATGGTCTTGCTGAAAAGTTAGACAGCTACAGGAACTTCTCTATTTAGCAGAAGTTGTTTTGTGGCATATTGCTCAGTTGTTATTCTGTTTTCTGTACTTTTGAGTGTCCAAATCGGTTAGTATGAAGCTGGTTGCTCACCATGCAGAGTTTCTTATAGGCAAAAATGAGTTTATTTTGCCACATATGTTGGTGTTAAGCATATTGGAATATCTTTTCAATCATCAAAACATAATATTTCTCTGTATCCTCAGTCCAGAATCTTTTATAATCAGTACCTGTCAAATAATTAAAGGGCTATGGTGATGGCACATGGGTGAAGTGGTTGTGGGAAGTCCATGGGGATTACAACTGAGATGAAAAAATGTACAAAATGAAGAATGTAAACAAATATATAAAACAAAAAAATTAGAAGAAATATAATCATTAAGAGGACAGACTAAGGAATATGCTGATCACTCCATTCAATAGATTTTTTTAAAGCTTTATTCCTGTCTCATAAAACCAGAGAACTAAATAATAAAGGTTATGTGATATCTGTTTTAATTGCCTTGATAATTGGTAGGAAAAACCTTTTGCCAGTTCCTGCCCATAAATGCCAATCATATTGCATTTATAGAGTAATTTGCAGAAAACTGATGTCTTTAAGCTATTGAATCTTCCTTTCCACTAATATGGTACATGTCCATTTGTGCTGTCAGAAATTTTACATAGTTGTCACGTATATTTTTCTTGCTATAATGAAATGACTTTTTTCCTCCTACATTTTCTAATTGATTATTGGCTAGATGAATAGACACATTATTGATTTGTGTGTGTTGATCCTACACTTTTATATATATCCAAGTGGTCAACTAATAGAGCTCTTTTTCATTCCATATAGAGGCTCATGGTTTTTGATTATGATAGATAAATCAGATGCATATTTTAATAGTTTTGTCCCCGTATATTTTCTCATGAACTTTTAAAAATTTATTTGAAATCTGGTTAGTACTAGTAGAATATAGAATAGAAAAAGTGATGATGATTGTCTTTATCTTGGTTATTATTTTATGGAGTCTACTTTTTTTTTTAAAGATTTATTTATTTATTCGTACAGAACTGGGGTACAGGCCAGAGATGCGGAGGGTGAGAGGCTTCACCAGAGACAGCGGGGAGCAGAACAGGCAGATGGACGAAGTACACTGCTGAGGGGAGCAGCGAGCGGGTCAGGAGAGGTCTGCCACGCCATATGGATCTCCTCCGGGGCAGGCGGGGATCGAACTCATGCAGAAGTGGCTTTAGCTTTTTAGTGCAGTGCCTTAACCCGCTGCACCACCAGGGAGGGCCCTATGGAGTCTACTTTTAATGATTAATCATTACATTTGAGGTTTGCTGTAGAGTTTTGATAGATTCCTTTTATCAGGTTTAAGGATGCTATTTCCCTTTAATTCCTATTTTGTATGAGGTTAAATCTTATCAAAACTCCCCCTCCAATTAGGTGATAAAATGTTCTTAATATTCTAATAAGTGCAGACTCACATCTTGTTTTCCTTTAAAGACCACTGGATTTGATTCTTTGTGTGTCTTTAACAAAAGATCTTAAACTTTTGCTAGTTCTTTTCCTTATAACAACAGTATTATCCTAACTAACCACTCAAAATAAACTGAATACATTCCCTTTTTATGTTACTCTGTTCTTGGAAGCTTTTTGTAATCAGGGAAGCTTTTTGTAATCAGGGATCATTTTTCCTTTGATTAACATGGTGAAACTGAGTCTGAGTCTGGTGTGGCTTTTTGTGAGAGAACTACTCTGTTCAATTTCTTTAATGATGATTACTTCCAGGATACATTTTAGTTAGCTGATAGTTTTTCTAGTTCTTTTGTTTATTGCAGCACTATTTATAATAGCCATGTTATAGAAACATCCTAAGTGCCCAAGGGATAGGTGTATAGATTAAAATGTGGGACTTTTATACACAATGAGATACTACTCAACTATAGAGGAAAAAAAGTGTTTTGGGGGGGACCTCTTGCCATTTCTGGAGAGGATAAAGCTAAGTGAAGTTAGTCAGAAGGAGAAACAGATACTAGATTGTGTCACTTATAAGTGGAATATAGAGAAACAACACAAAGGATCAGACAAAAACCAAACCAATAATAAGCACTGGGAATCTGACAGTGGAATTGAGAAAGTTCTCTCTAGTTACAGCTTATCTGTAGTTCAGGAGGGCCTATTTTGATATATATTTCTTTTGTAATTTTGCTTTAGTTTGATTTTCATAGTATTATTTAGGAATTTTGCTTTTAGTTGTCAAGTATGCTTCATTTTTATTTTCATATTTTTCTTGAGCAGTGATCAAAGAGTATCTGTAGTATTGATTTTTAAAATGCACTAAAATGATTTGTGATTAGGTTATTGTTCAATTTTTGTAAATATCCTTTGTGCCCTATGATAGAAATATATACTCTTTGGTGATTAATATGTTAGACTAAGCTAGTTAATTGTTACCTGAGTCTTAATTTTGCAGCCTTTCTGAAAATTTTGTTACATTGCATTTCAGAGGCAGCTTAGTGAACATGAAATTGTCGATGATCAGTTTTTTCCCCCCTACAGTCCAGTAAAGTACCATTTCATTTCATATTCATTGGACTCTAGAGATGCTAGTGAGCCATCTATTAGCTTTTTAGATTATCATACTGTAAGGACTTATTCTCTGTTCTTGACATAGTTGTTTTGATAATTTTGATGTGTACTGGTATGGATTTGATTTTCTTTTTTAAATTCTGTTTGAGACTCATCTCTTCAATTTTAGAAAGGTCTTAGAATTATCTCCTCATATTTTGGCATTACCTCATCCTTCCTAGTATTTCCTTCTTTACTTTAGGTTTTAGGTAGATATGCATGTGTTTTTGTCATACTTTTTTTTTTTGGCATTTTTAACTTTTTTCTTTATACCTCTTCATAGGTGATTTCTGCACATATATATCTTCTAATTGATTTCTCCAATTCATTCTATTCAATTTATCCATTGACTTTGAGCTTTTAATTTCAGTGACTGTTTTCATTTTTGTAATTTGTAATTTCTATTTGTTTCTTTAACATATTCAGTATTCTTTGGTAATAATGTGTGATTCTTGCCTAATGTTTTTTATTTTTGCTTCCCCCCCCACCCTCCCTAAAATCCCAAAGTTATTTAAAGTCTTTTTTAGGTTGCTTTATTATCTCCACAGTTTATGGTACAGATTTTGTTGTCTCTGCTAACTTTCCATAATGAGGACTTGTTTATAAATTGTTATCTTTGTGGTCTTCCTTAGTGGGATTTGCTTTTTGAGAGATTTCCATGTGTTCTAGAGGAGTAAATGCCCATTAAGGTTGTGTTTTTGCATTCAACTTCATTAGTTTATCAGTTTTCACTACTTCCTGGCAACTTTCTATATTAAAGTTTCATGCAGGGTCTGTGTACCATCTGGGTGAGGTGAACTAGGTCAGCTGTCCTATGTGCTCTAATTACTCACAAGAGAACCTTTTCTACCCGGCTCTAGTTTGATTTCATTTCAGCTAAGGTTGTGGGTGGTGTTTATGCAGTCTGTTTCACAGGTGCAGTCTGTTTCACAGGTGCATCAGTTTCTAATTGGTAAGCTGTTTTGGCTCCTGTTCTGTTTACTGCTCTCATTTTGAGTTGCTGTTTTATTTTTAGTGACATTGTATTTCCCTTGCCTGAGCTTGAGTTTAGTAATATTTCTTTCATTCCAGTTTATGTAACATTTCCATGGGTTTGGAGGATAATGGCCTTGTGAGTCATCCCAGTCTACTATATTACAAGAGGCTTGTATATAGGTTTTCATGATTCTTGTTTTTTAAAAAATGTGAAAAATCAGGTAGTAGCATTTTAAATGCACCTTTGTCTTATGAGATATTTTAATTTTTATTAACTCATCCTAAGATATAAAAATATTTCAGAAAACATAGGCTGTTTTAAGAAGGGATATGATGCTGTTATCTTTTTTTTTTTTTCTGGAAGTGGGAGTCTTCACTTCTGAAGTATATCCATGAAAAACAAGATAATCTCAATTTTAAAATCACTCAAAATACTCTTGAGTATTTTGATATCTTCAAAAAGCCTAAATCATCTAGAAATGTGAGCTATATATAGAATAAAAAACATATATGCTTTTGAAGATGTTTATTAGTCTTGGCCTTTGAAAGAAAAAATGGCTTTAACAATAGGAATAGTTTAGTGCATTGTTTATTGCAAATCATTAGAATACTTGTAAGTTAGCAATTTAAATCACTAGATTAAAGATTTTATAGAAATAAGCATATTTCTATATTACTAGGAGAAGACTTAAAAATTGTATATCCCTTATGAAAACTAGGAGGTAATGTTGAAATAAAAATGCGTTATGCAGTAGGATGATCAGTTTTTTCTTTGAAACCATTTTTTTCAGTACTGCCATTCTTGCAGGATTTTCTTTTTTTTAGCATTTTTATTACTATTATTAAACAGACTGCATGAAAACTGATGGGCAAGACTGAAAATGTATGAATTACATATAATACCAAACATTAAGAAAATAAGTGTTACTATTTTTGTAAATAAGTCTCAGAGGTTAAGATACGTGATCAAAATTATAAGTAAAATATACAACCATATTTCAAATTAAAACAGGTTTGTCAGTTACCAGAAGTCACTGCCCATTAGTATGGGTAATGTTGATTCTTTTTTTTCTTTCTTTTTTTAATATACTTTCATTGATATAGTATGATAGTGTAACCATTAACACTGGCTTTTTTTTTGTTTGTTTGTTTGTTTATACTGTTTGTATTTTAGAAGTATGTTACCCCGTCTTAGAGTGCTCCAACCACCAAAGTACCCACAGTCTACCACCATAGTCTATTGTGTTCCCTTCCCTCTTTTCCCTTCCTTGAATGTCTCAGTTCTGCAGCCTGCTTTCAGGGGATAGTTTCTAAGTTTGCTTTATCTGACCTTTTGTTTGGTTTCTCTATATTCCACCTATAAATAACACCATCTGGTATTAGCCTTTCTCCTTCTAACTTATTTCACTTAGCATAATCCCTTCCAGCTCCATCCATGTTGTTGCAAGTGGCATGTTTATCATTTTTTGATCACTGAGTAGTACTCCATTGTAAATATATACTTGAGCTACTGGTCTACTTTGAGGCACTTAGGTTATTCCCATATTGTTGCTGTTGTAAATGGTGCTACAATGAGCATGGCATTGCAAGTTGCCCTTCAAATTCATGTATTTGTGTTCTGTGGGTAGATACTTAGAGTGGAATTGCTGGATCATGTGGTCAATTAAATTTTAATCTTTTAACAAAGGTCCATGTTGCTTTCCATTGGAACTGAACCTGTCAACATTCTTAGCAACATTGTAAAAGTGTTCCTTTTTTTCTCTTCATCCTCACGAGTATTTTTTGGCTTTGGTCTTTTTTGATATGGGTCATTGTCATAGGAGTGAAATGATATGTCACTGCAGTTTTCATCTGCATTTCTCTGGTAGGTGATGAACATTTTTTCTTATGTTTATTGGCCATCTATATGTCTTCTTTTGATAAGTGCCTATTTAGTTTTTCTATCCTTTTTTTGATTTGGTTGTTTTGTTGTTGTTGATCTTTGATATTAGCTCCTGGTTAGATGTAGGTGTGCACATACTTTTTTCACATTCAGTTGGGTAGCTTTTTATCTTATTTTTAATTTCTTTAGCTGTGCAGAAGCTTTTAATTTGATGTAGTCCCAGTTGTTTATGTTCTCTTTTGTTTTCCTTGCTGTTGGAGAAATATCTATGGAGGTATCACTGGAGGTTATGAAGTGTTTTGTCAATGTTCTTTTTTTCTATATGTTTTATAGTTTCAGATCTTACATCATTATCTTTTATCTATACTGAGCCGATGTATGTCTGGTGTGCAATATGGATCTAGCTTCATTCTTTTGCATGTGGCTGTTAAGTTTTCCCAGCATCATTTATCAAAGAGACTGTTCTTGCTCCAATGATGTTTCTGGTTCTGTTATTGTAGATTGTCCATACAGATGTGGATTTGTTTCGGGAGTCTTAAGTTCTGTTTCACTGATCTGTTGATATATTTCTAACCTTAATGATTGTTAAGGGGAAGGATGTCCTAAAGGAACTCTCAGAGTTTTGTGGATTCCACCCCCTACTCCAGTTTTCTGGACTCTACCCTCTACTCCAGCGAATGGAAACTACAACTCCCAGCAGTACCAAGGAGAGAACTATGAGGACCCAATGGTGGAACTAAGCAGGCATTCTGGGACTTTGGGGGGTAAATAGGGAGCCATTTTGTCCAAAGGTCTCTCTCACTCAGGAAACAGTTCTTGGGACCACATGACTGGGGGCTATCAGTTAGTTTGTTACCAGAGCTCCAAGTCAGCTGAGCCGGTAAGATATTCTAGTTACCTTGTGTATCTCTCTTTCCCTGGCTTGTTCCTTTTCCTTTCCCTTTTTGTAAATAAACCCATTATTGACCCTTTCGTGTGTGCCTGCACGGGTGAAGACCCACAGACAGGCAGCCCAGTTCACACTGAGGTGCCCTGGAAAAGTTCTGTTGTTGTAGATTGCCCATACAGATGTGGATTTGTTTCTAGAGTCTTAAGTTCTGTCTCATTAATCTGTTGATATATTTCTAACCTTAATGGAATCAAGTAGTACCCCTAATCTTTGCTACATTCCAGATACAGAGTGGAGAATTTTTTGAAAAGGAATGACAGGGGAAGGTCAACATAATCACCTTTATTTCTGATGAAGCTGTTATCGAAGTATGTAACTGAGATTTGTACCAGATTAGGTGTGCTCACTAAACCACAGATTTACACCCCTTGTTGCAGCAATATTCAGGCAATTTAGGCCTTTTCTCACCTTATCCACTGATGATCAGAGAGTTGATCCCAAGAAGATAAAGAGTGGAACTGCTCTGAACCCTTACTGATTATTCTACCCAAATAAGTCATTTCACCTGAAGTAAAGGCTAAAGAGAGACCAAGAGTAACACTGCGTAAGGGTCTGCCACAAACAACGTGTCATGGAAATTGACATACTGTCCTAATGTTGATTAATTTTAGAATAAAAAAAGTCACATCAGTGTTCTGGCATTTGTTGCTTAATACATTTGCTAAAGTATCAATTGAAATTTAATTTTTTTTAGAATCTACATATATTCTAATTAAAGCATTTTCACTTTTAGGCGTGTAAATGCAGAATTGGAGGCAAAAACAGCTGATTTGGTTCGACAAGCTGAAGAAGTAATTGTAAGTAAATGTACAATTTGTAAGTAATACCGTGTAAGTGCTAGCTTTTTAATATATTTGTATAGTCATTTATTATTTTCTTACATCATTGTTCATTTTTGTACATTAATTGGGTTCCCCCCTCAGATGTAGCCCCTATAGTTTTCTCTCTACTATATCACCAGTGAGCCATTACCATATTTCCTTGTGTTCATCCCTCCCTGTTTTGATCCCCTTCCTCTCTTGTTGTCTGCCTCAGATCTATGGTCAGCTTGCTAGTTTTGCCATTTTTTTTGACCTTGTGTTTGGTTTCTCTATATTCCATATATATGAGACCATCTGATGTTTATCACTTCCCTTCAGACGTATTTTGGCTAGCATAATCCCTTCCGGCTTCATCCATGTTGCCACAAATAGGATGAGTTTGTCTTTGTTGATTGCTGAGTAATATTCCACCGTGTAATATACCACTTTTTTTTTTTTAATCCATTCATCTATTTTGGGACATTTGGGTTGCTTCCATATCTTGGCCATTGTAAATAGTACTATAGTAAGTCTAGTAGTGTGGAATTCTTTTCAAATTAGTGTTTTTGTGTCCTTTGAGTAGATTCCTATGAGTGGAATCGCTGGATCATGTGGTAAGAGCCATTTTTAGTGTTGTGAGGAACCTCCACATAACTTTCTATAGTGGCTGATCAATTTGCATTCCCAGTAGCAGTATAAGAAGGTTCCTTTATCTCTGCATCCTCCCAGCATTTGTTTCAGGTTTCTTAATGTGGACCATTCTCACTAGTGTGAAGTGGAATCTCATTGTGGTTTCGATTTGCATTTTCCTGGTCACTAATTTTGGCCATTTGCATTTCTTCTTTGGAGAAGTGTCTTTTTAGTTCTGCCCATTTGTTTTTTTAAAAATTAGGTTGTCTTTGTTGAGTTGTGTAAGCTCTCTGTAGATCTTTAATATCAGTCCCTTATATGTTATATGGTGTATAGATACTTTCTCCCATTCAGCATGATGTCACTTCACTTTGATTGCTATCTCTTTTGTTGTACAAAAGCTTTTTTAGTTTGATATAATCCTGGCTATTTATCTTCTCCTTTGTTTTTCTTGATTGTGGAGAAGAATACTCAGATGTTTCTGAGGTTTATGTTATGGAGTATTTTATCTATGTTCTACATACTTTATGGTGTCAGGTCTCATATTTAATTCCTTTACCAATTTTGAATTGATTTTTGTGTCTAGTGTGAGGTTGTTGTCTAGTTTCATTCTAGTTGTATCCACTTTTCCCAACACCATTTATTAAAGAGACTTTTCTTGTTATAGTGTATATTCTGTGCTAATTTGTTGTAGATTGATTTACTATATACGTGTGGTTTAATTTTGGACTTTCAATCCAATTCCATTGATATGTGTTTGTTTTTGTTCCAATACCATGCTGTTTTTAATATAATAGCTTTGTAGTATTGTTTGAAGTCTGGGAATGTAATACTTTTGCTCTTCCTCCTTTTAGTTATGAGAGTTTTTGCTGTTTGTGTGTGTGAGTGGTTCCATATGAAGTTCAACAATATTTACTCCATTTCTTTGAAGAGTGCCATTGAGATTTTTATTGGAATTGCACAGAATCCATAAATTGCTTTTGGTAGGATGGCCATTTTGATAATGTTAATTCTTCTGATCGATAAGCAGGGAATATCTTTCCATTTCTTTGTGTCTTATATTTCTCTTAACCTTGTTTTGTAGTTTTCCTTGTATAGGTTTTTCACCTCCTTTATTAGGTTTATTCCCAGGTATTTTGGTTTGGGGGGGGTGTTTACATTGTAAATGGGATTGTTTCCTTAATTTCTTCTTGAGACTGTTAGCACATAGGAAGGCTACTGATATTTGTATAATGAATTTGTAATCTACTACTTTGCTCTAAACTGGTTTTTGTTTGTTTGTTTGTTTGTTTAAGGTTTATTCATGTTGGGCTTTCCCTGGTGGTGCAACAGGTTAAAGCACCACATTAGGAAGATCTCCGAAACCACCGCAGCATGAGTTTGATCCCTGGTCAGGGAGCTGACCCACATGGCGTGGCACACCTCTTCTGACCCGCCAGCTTCTACTCACAGCAGTGTACTTTGTCTGTTTACCTGTTCTGCTCCTCACTCTCTCTCTGGTGAGTCCTCTCACCCACCACACCTCTGGCCTGTACCCTAGTTCTGTAAGCATAGATAAATTTTTTGTAAAAAGATTTATTCATGCATACAAGAACTGGGGCACAGGCCAGAAGTGCATGGGATAAAAGGATTCATCAGACAAAGAGTGGGGGGCAGAACAGGTGGTTCTACTGAAATACACTGCTGAGGGGAGCAGTAAGTGAGGCAGGAGGGGTCTGCTGTGCCATGAGGGCCACCTTTCTGGCCAGGGATCGAACTGCTACTACAGTGGTTGCAGAAAGCTTTATAGTGCTGTGCTTTAATCCGTTGCACCACCAGGGAAGGCCTCTAAACTGGTTTGTTGTTTTAATTAGTTTTTCTGTGAGTTCCTTTTTTTTTTTTTTAAGCATTTTCTCTATGTATTAAATCATGTGTATATAATGCTAACTTTACTTCTTTTTCCCTATTTGTATTCCTTTTATGTTTTTCTCTTGCCTAACAGCCTTAGCAAAGACTGTCAGTATTATATTGAAAAGCAGTGATGAGAGTGGATATCCTAATCTTTTTGCAGATCTTAATGGGAAGGTTTTCAGTTATTCATCATTAAGAATGTTAGCTGTGGGTTTTCCATGTATGGCTTTTATTATGTAAGATATGTCCCTTTTATCCTGAAATTTTTGAGGGCCTTAATCATAAATGGATGTTGGACTTTATCAAATACTCTTTAGGGGGATGCAGTGTCCTGTAGTCCGTGTCAGGACCTGTCAGGTCCATGTAGTCCAGGCCTTCATTTAGAACTATTGTGTCCTTGTTATTTATTGATATGATAATAATTGCTTTTATTTTTTTAATGATGTGGAGAATTACATTAATTGATTTCTGGATATTAAACCATCATTATGACCCTGGAATGAATCCCACTTGTTTGTGATATATATTTTGATGCATTTGTTAGCTTTGGTTTACTAAGTCTTTATTGAGGATTTTAGCATTCTTGTTCATTAGGAGATAATCTTTAGTTTTTTTTTTTCCTGCTGTCTTTGTGTATGACAGTGTTTATTCTTTCTTGATATTTCTGAAAGTTTTTGTAGAATAGGCATCTTTGAATGTTTGGTAGAACTTGTTAAATCATCTTGTCCTAGACTTTTTTTGGGGGGCAGTGGGGGTGGAGGGTTTTGTTACTGTTTCAATTTTACTGCTTGTGATTGGTTTTTTAAAGTTTTCTATTTCTTTGTTCAGCTTGTATTATTGTATACTTCCTAAGGATTTGTCCATAACATCTAGATTGTTAAACTTGTTTAAATACAAATGCCCCCAGTAATCTCTAATTATCCACTAGATTTCTTCTGTGACTTTGTGATTTCTTCTCCTTCACCTACTTCCTAGGGTTTTCTCCCTTGTGAGCCTTTATAAAGGCTTACCTATTACATATTTTTGAAAATCCAGCTTTTGGTTTCATTGACTTTGGATTTTTTTTTCTATTTGATTTATTTCTGCTTCAATTTTTACAATTTCATTTGTGACTTTTTTTAATTCTTTTTCTAGTTTCTTAAGTTGAAAAGTTTGGATATTTCTTTGGGTTATTTCTTGTTTCTTGATATAGGCCTGCATTGCTTTATATTTTCCTCTTCTTACTGAGTTCCATATGTTCTGGAAAATTGTATCTTTATTGTCATTTGTCTCAAGATATTTATTGAGAAATTATATTAACTTCTATTTCAGTGTGCTTTTAGTAGCATGTTGTCAGTCTCCATGTAATGTGAAATCTCCTTGGTTTCTTTTCATATTTGAAAAGAAATATGTATGTCTTTGTGTTTATCTTGTGACATAATATATGGTCGATCCTGGAAAATGATACATATGCACTTGAGAACAATGTTTATTTGGTTTTGGGGGGCATGCAGTGTCATGTAGATGTCTTTTAGGTCCATGTGGTCCAGATCTTCACTTAGGATCACTGTGTCCTTGTTTAATTTTAGTCTTTTTGATCTGTCCCTTGGTGAGGATGGGATGCTGCAGTCTACCACATAAGTATACTCTTAATTATCTGTTTTCAGAGATGAGAGCAAGTGTCTAACATATTTTAGTATTCCCTCATTTGATGAGGTTTTTTTAATTGTTCCTTTGATCATTATATAATGTACTTCAGTGTCTAGTCAAATTTTTAGTTTAAAGTTTATTTGACCTGATAGAAGTATAGCTGCCTTTGCCTTTTTTTTTTTTTTTTTGGAGAGGGGTTAGGAGGGGAGACCTTTTGCTAGTCAGATTGTTTTTCGGGTCTTTATTTTCAATCTGTGTATTTTTTAGAGTGTAGGTGTGTTTCCTGGAGGCAGCAGAAGATTTGACTCTGTTTTTCCATCTAGCAAGCTACTTTTTTTTGTGTGTGTGAGTTTAGTTCATTAACATTTAGGGTGATTATTGATACAAGGACGTCTGTTATTGCCACTTTAGTGATCATTTGTGGTTGTATTCACTACCTTGTTCCATTCTTACTGTTCATTCCTGTTCATTGGTTTAGCTTTTAAGGCTTTTTATTATATTTCTTAGGGTGGGTGTTTAGTATAGTGACTTTCTGAAGATTTTACTTGAGAATGCCCTTACTTTTCCCACATAAAGGAAGGAGAGCTTTGCATAGAATATTCTTGGCTGGCATTTCTTTTTTTCTTGAAGTTTTTTTTATTTTTGTTTTGTTTTGTTTTAATGTTACTCCACTCTCTTCTTGCCTACAGTGTTTCTTCAGAGAATTCTGATATGGCTTAATCAGTATTTCTTTGTAGGTTATTTGTTTCTTTCCCCCTTGTCAGCTTCACTATTTCATCTTTGTCTTGGACTCTTGAAAGCTTATTATGGGTCTTGCTGTAGGTTTCCTTCATTATGGTAATTTGTTGTGCTTCTAGCTTCCTATATGTCTATTTTCATTTCCTTCAAGTTTGGTAAATTCTCTTCAATTATTTCCTTGAATAGTTTCTCAGTTCCCTGTGTCTCTGCGATTCCTATAACTCTTATTTTCCTTTCCTTGTCGTATCCTATAATTCTTGAAGCGTTATTTGATTCTTTTCCTCTTGTACCTCTCTTTTTCTTTTTTGGCTCATTTTATATATCTGTTTTCCACCATACTGATTTGTCCTTCCATTTTATCTTTTCTATTTTCATGGCATTTTCCAGAATTTTTTAGGTTCTCCATTAATTTTTAACATCCTGAAGTTCCTTTATTTTCTTAAGTAAAGATTCGGTCTTGTTCTTTTGTCTTTTGTTTCTCATAGCATTCTGTTCCTTTTCTGCGTATTTTAGTTTTTTAATTAAGGTGATTTTGAATTCCTTGTCAGTCAGGCAGAGAAATCCTTCCATGTTGGTATTGTTTGCTTCTGAAGGTTGATTGTCTTTCTGTGGTGTATGGTTCTCAGGAGGGCTTGCTTGACCATTTGTGTTTTATTTCCTCTCCATTGTTTGCTTTCATTATTTTTGTTTCAGATGAGGGCCATGTGACCACTGGTGCCTGCAGGCATGACTCTGGGTGCTCTTTCTGGGACATGTATAGATTTACCTGGTGGATGGGGGAGGTACTCCTCCAACTGCTCCCTAAGCTCCTGCTAGTTGGACCACTCCTGATGGTGTGTAAGATTTCTAGGCACCTTTATAGGGCGTGTAGGGGTCTGCATGCTGCCTGGGCTCCTCTCGCAGCTGTACAGAGTCAGGGTTGGAGGCTTTTGTGGACCATTGCTGCTAGTGGGTGGAACAGCTGGGCACATTTACTTGGGTGTGGATGGATCTGCCCACTGTCTGGTCTGCTGTGGCAGCTGGGCAGGGGAAGTAGAGGAGACTTCAGGGAACTCTTAAAGGTACTGGTAGGGCTCCTGCTGACCAAACCACTTGGAGTATCTGATGCAGGTCTGGCACCACAAGGCACAGACTGGGCCCAGTTACGAAGTATCCAAGGGTCCCCAAGGGTACAGCACCATAAGACAATGGCTGTGGCCTTGTCCGTTGATGTGCAATGCAACAGGCTAAATGGGATGTACTTGCTGTGGGTCCCCAAGGCAGGCCAGCAATATGACGCCTAGTCTGCTTAGAGATACGGGCCAGTAGAGTGGTGGCTGGTGCTTGGTCTTTCAAGATTGAGGCTCAAAGGAAAAAGAAAGAAAAAAGTTTGCAGCTCAGTGTTCTCTCTGCTCAAGAGTTGCTGGTGGCTTGTGTTGTAGCCTGTGTTGCTAGGTGGTCCCAGAGGGCTAGTGGGATTCACTTTGCATTGCAGCCTGGACTTAATCCTTTTAAATTACAACTCAGGGAATAAAGAAAACAAGACATTTGTGGCTCAGTATTCTGTGCATTCCAAAGGAGCAGGGTGGTAAGGTCTAGGTTGCTCTCCTGGGATTAAGCTGGGGGTTCTACAGTAAGGGGAAGCAGATACAGCTGAGTACTTGGGAAGATTAGACTCCTTTTTGATTCTTGGGTGTCCTAGTGTTGTTTGAAGCAAATTAGTTTTTTTTTTTTTTTAGTAGTTTATTTTTACATCATTTTGTGCATTTTCCCATCTCAGTTGCAATCCCTCCCCTTGGGCTTCCCATCACCAAATCACCCATGTACCATCACCATAGTCCAGTGCATTTCCCTCTCCCCACTGTTTTTGATCCCATTCTCCACTCCACCCCCACAAAATGTCTTTGGTATATAGCTGTTCATCATTATCATTATTTTCTCTCCTGGTCCATTATATTCCTACTATGAGAAAAACCATCCAGTATTTTTCCTTTTCTTTCTGGCTTCTTTCACTAAGCATGATCTTTTCTAGATCCATCCATGTTGCTGCAAAAGGCATGTGTTTATTTTTTTGGTTGCTGAGTAATATTCCATTGTGTATATGTACCACATCTTTTTAATCCAATTATCTACTTTTGGTCATTGAAGCAAATGAGTTTTGCCAAAAGCTTTTTTATAGTTGTTTTTAAGAGAAGAAATTGATCCCAGCCCTTCTCTCCTGTCACTTTGGGGGTGGAACCAAGTATTTGACTTCTTAATTTGATATATTTACAATAAGTGCCATAAGTACAAATTTTAATCTTAGTGAAGTATCGCAAAGTGAACATTGATATAGGTATATATATATATATGTGTGTGTTTCGATAAACCTACATTTTCTAAGTCATTGAGTAAGTGTTTTTCACTATGGTTATTAATGAATTTAATACATTAACCACAATTATTTAATAGTGTTTAAGATTACTGTTATTATAAGATTAATATTTGAGAGCAGCTATGAAGAATTATTAATGGTAATTCATTAAGGACAGAGATATGGCCTCTAGGCAAAAGTTAAAGGGTACACTATTACTCTGGTGGTAGTTTGTTAAACTTTTCAGTAGGATGTACTCAGATTCTTAGGGCTAGACCATAATCAGATAAATAATTAGGAAGAATCTAGTGAGTTAATATCTTTAGACTGTAGGCATTTTTTTGCTTCATTTTGAATACCAAATTGGGGATTCCTACTTTAAGGATCCCTCTTTATGCATCAATGTTCCCACTATTAATTGATAAGAAAAAGTAGCACTCCTTACAGGAATAGAGATGGCTTTCAAAAATTTTTTGTTCATACTCTTTCTTAATCACAATCATTTTTTCAAATCCACCCTCCTTGATCATGTAGTATGGAGTTGAGGGGGATAGGGAATAATAGATAATAATTTATTTTAGTTTTGAAATGAGAAATATATATAACATTGCATATAATTTATGTAGATAGCGATTATTGATTTGCTAAGTTGCACTTATAATTATTTATTCTGTCTTTTAGTCCTTGATAGTATCTGAAGAGGAAAACACTTGAACAAAGAAATCCAATGTTATAGTAGAATGAGGGATTCATTATGTATTCTGCTCAGAGTCTTCTAGCAAGGACCTTTTATTTTTTTCAAAGAAGAGTTCAGCAGAAAACTGGGATGAGTTGGGAAAAGTAAGAATAAGTACATCCTTACTCCCACAAAAACTAGTAGATAAAACTTTTGCCTCCTTGAATTTTCACTTTCACTTCTTGTTGTATCTTTGCCAGAAGTATTTACTCTTAGGTGCTTCATTTTCAGCATTTTTCTCATCTTGTCATTCAAGCTTTGCCTGATTTGAGAAAAGTTTTCCACCCATTAAGTAGATATGTTTTTCATTTCTTTTACGTCTGATTTGTTTTGCATGTTACCAAGTTGGGGAATTCTAATATAGTAGGGAAGCATGAATCAGATAAGATCATAAAAAGGCAATTACACAGTTAGATTTTTTCCTGAGACTTGACTTTCTTAACTGAGAATGAGTGAAAGATGGAACTACATTGTTATAGAGGTCTATTTTCATACCATAGGATGAATACAGTTAAATACATTCTAGTTTTTGCTTTTTTTTTTTTTTTCTGTGTGTGGCTTGTTTTTGTTTAACTAGAGAGCTCACCAAGAGGTACAGTCTAGGCCTTCTTCAACACAAGTTAAATCATGTGAAGATGATGATTACGGTTTAAGGTAAGTGACTTAAATTCTCAGACACCATTTTATATATACATATACTCACACACACACATATTTACATCATTGTTCATTTTTATACAGTGTTTGATTTCTCTCCTCAGGTGTTGTCCCTGTAAAATTCCCACCACCAAGGCATCCCAAGAATCATCACCATAAACTCTTGTGCTTATCCCTCCCCTCCTGAATATGTCCAATTTCAAACATCATCTTTTGATGATGTATATAGATGTTCTATTCTATAAAATCTCTTTGCATGTAGAGTTGGAAAACTAATTTGAAGAATAATATACAAAACACTAATTGGGGATTTATACAATACAAACCCAATATAAGCCTTTACCTTATTTTCAAGGTATTTCTTGATATAATATTATTGTCCTCACTTTAAAAAGCAAGAATATAGCTTGGAAACTCAAGCGCTTGTCCAAGGACTTGTAGCTGGTCTGGGATTTCACAGAGCTGATAAGATTTGTTTAAGCCTGTCTTTATAATAAACTATACCATCTTTCTTTTTAAATTGCAATGAATATCAGGCAAAACTAATGAATTTGTAAAACTAAAATATATTAGATATAGCTGAATAAAGCTCTAACATTAACAGAGGCTATTGTGATCACCATATCGTCAAGTCTCTTGCTATGAGCAAAAATCAAATTAACCCTTTCCTAACCTCAGAAGGCAGAAGTTGGTGTTGAATGTCCAGTTGATTCTTTGTCGCTGTGCTAGTGAAATTCCAGTGAGTGAAACTTCTCAGCCCAGTCTCTGGATGATTGTATGGTACATACGGAAAAATTACCCCTTCTGTGCCTCTTTTTTGCTACTTTGAGAATGCTTAACCACTGCGATTTAACAGCCCACCCTATCCTAACTATTAAAGCAATTGGTATTGAGTTAGGTGCTATATCACAAAAATTCTAACAGTATGTCTTTAGCTTAGCAGTTGGTGAAGTGATAACTAGCAAGGTACTTACATTGAAAGTTGGAAAGACAAAGGAATAGTGGTATGTAGCAGCAAATAATTTGGTAAAACTGTCACCTTTAGTAAATTGGTAGGAAGTAGATCTGGCGTCTAATAAATTTATGCTCAAAGGAAGAGATTAGAAAGCAATAGTATGTGATATTACTCTTGACTGTATCTGACACATACAATAAAGACAAGTTGGGAAAAAGGTAATGAGGTTTTATCATTAGACAGATACACGTTTTTTGGCCTATTCTGAATACCAAATTGGGTATTCTTGAGCATTCTTCCTTAAACATCAGCATTCCTATTATTGATTAAGATATAGTAGCATTCCTTGGAGGAATTAAGTGAGAAATAATTGGCTATTTTGCAAGCAGAAATGAAAGGAAATACAGATATTAGAGAACTAGAGATCCTTGTAATAGTGTTAATATTCACCTGCTTCTAATTTTGATGCAGTCCTAGTTATTTTTTGTTACTTGGGCTTTTAGAGTCATATCTAAGAATCCAGTGTTAAATCTAAGGTCATTGATATTTATCCCTGTTTTCATTTAAGGGAGATTTATAGTTTTAAGCTTTTACATTTAGGTCTTTGATAGTTTGAGTTAAATTGTGTGTATGGTATAACATAAGCATGAACATTCTTTTGTATGCAGTTACCCTATTGTCACGACACCATTTGTTGATGCAACCATTCTTTTACTATTAAATGGTTTTGGTACCCAAAAACCAGTTGGCCAGACTCTTGATGAACCTTTATAGAGTTAGTCTCAAATATTGTGAGATAAAATATAGAAAATAATTTTGAAGAGCAAAAGCCTACGAAAGAACAAGTTAAACACCAGATTTCAGGTGCAGTCTTCACAACTACTGACAAAATGTTTCAATGAAAAGGTTTTTCAGGGAAATAATTATATAAATAGCTAATGATCATAGTGAACCTTTCCAATTTGATAAAATGACTCATGGTGCAAAGATCTGACTAAAGATATATCCTTTCCACAGAAGCATGAAACTCAGAGTAAACTATTTTTAAATCAAAAGGGAGGGGCATGAGGGAGGAATGGGGAGAAAGAAGGTGGGAGGAAGGAAGAGAAGTGTTCAGGATAAAGAAATACAGTTCTAAAGTGTAATTTGGGGATGAACTATGGGTATGCTAACTGAAACTGACTGTACTCTGATAGGTAAGAAACTTAGTTTTTGAGAGTTACACTGCAAAGAAACTTTTAGAGTAATGTACTGAAACTTGAAATTATGCCTGTTAAAAATCTTAAAAAAAAAATCTGTGGCCCTCTCAGTTTTCTAAGAAGCAGCAGGCAGTGAAAGTTGCACAGATCTACTAGAGTATAGTGTTTTTAAACACATTATACTTAGGGCTTAGCCTTGGGGAAAAAAAAAATAAGTGCTACTTAGGGGACAGTTTATTTGACTCACACTTAATGTTGCAACACTGTTTTACCAAAAAATAATTCTTGCATATGATTCAGCAATTTTCTGTAGCTGTTTACTCAACAAATGTGAAGTATGTTCAGGCAGAAACCTGTATGTGAATGTTTATAACACCTTTATTCATGATTGCCAAAAAATTGGGAATAGCTCAAATATCCATCAAGAAGTGAATGGATAAGCAATTATAGTATATCCATGCAATGGAATACTACTTAAAAATAAAATATTGATATAGTATCTGAATGTTAAGTATAAGAAACAACACTTAACGAATGTATATATCATGCAGTTCCATTTATTTGACATTCTGTGAAGGTAAAATTATATGGACAGAAATCACATTAGTGGCCGTATGCAACTCAGAGGAGGGTAATAATTATAAAGGGCACCAGAAATTTTTTGGGATGATGGAAATATTCTCTATCTTTTTATAGCAGTATTTACATTACCATTTAAGGTTTTGAAATAATAGAAATCATACCAAAACCAAAATATTTTGCTATTTATAAATTATATTTTATAAATAATATAAACAATAATATATATAATCATAATATAAATAATATTATCACATTTTATAAATAATATAAATCTAGAAAAAAGAAATTTGACCACCACTAGCTTCTGGGTGTATGAAGTGGTGAGTAAACAGACCAGGTACACTTTTCCCAAGGAATTAATGCCTAGTGTGTTGCTTTTAATTTTAATTTGTAAATAAAACTCCAAAAAATGATTGTTGCCTTATTTGATAAATGCATCTCTAATATATATATATGCTACCAAATTACTTTTATTATATGTAACATTGTTGTATTTAAGTAAACGATGATTTTACAGCTTTACATAATCTAAATTGTAGAATTTAAATAAGATTAAGCTTAGCTTCTATCTAGTAAACTAAAATGTGGAAATGATGGTGGCAACAGCTAGTCTGTTGAAGCGAGAGACCAATTTCACAAGCATAAAAATAAATCTGTTTTTCTTCATTTAGTAAATTTTCTGTAGGTGTAAAGTGGTGACGACACTTTTTTTTTTTTACCTAGGTCAGGTGGTCTTTTTAAAATGGCTTTTATCATGTGAAAGATGGCATTAGGCTGTTAGCCCAGAATTGTTGATGAAAGATAATTCTGTCAAGAGATCATCTATTTTAGCTCAGAAAAGTGATAATTCACCTAAATGATTATAGTTAAGCAATATATGTTACAGGTTTCCAACATCCATGTTACTCTGCCAAGCAATATGGTAGGTAAAAGCCAGAACTTAGTTTCTTAATTATCTAGCATACTTACCCTGCAGTCTGCTCAAAGCAAGGTTTACTGCACAAAGCATTTCAGTCTTACTGCATACAAACCTTTTATGGAGACGTTTCAAAAAGATCAGACTACTATGTTTAAGTTCATTACTTTTGGGAATAATCTTACTCTGCTAATCCGGAGGGAGACAGATGACTAAATAAATGTGTTCTCACTGATATGTATGAGTATGTGGCAAGTCAAGGAGAAATGGAAAGTACAAAATATAAGGAAATGGCAAATTATTTGAAATGAAGAGGATACTTAAAATTTTGTTAAATTAGTGATATTTTCATTCATACATAAGAAAATCAACCTCTGAAATTTTAAGATACTTTAAAAGTCTTTTCTTCTTAGAAATATTTACAATTCTTAAGAGGTTGTATTTGAATATTATCTTTATTAAGAGTATGTTTATGTTTAATATTGGAAGAAACCCTTTGTATTACTAATTCAGTAGGTAGCATCTGATCTAATTTTGTTTTTATGTGCTCCACTATGGCTAGAATTTCTCAGGGAAGATGAAGTTTTCTTATTTTTTCATAGCAATAATCTCTGTTAATGTGGTAGGTTCTCATAAGTAATACCAGTGTTTGTTGGGGATGATCTAGACAGTGGATAGGGGGTAGACATAATTTTCCTGTAAAGGGCCAGCTACAGTCTTTTTTTGCAACCCTTGATTTTGCAGTTCTCCAGTGAAACAGCCATTTAATGAGTGCATATAAGAATGAATATGGTGAGTTCAGTCTGGGCAATATTTTTACTTAGTTTTAAACTTCAAAACCTGGACATAGAATGAATAATATTTGACATGTATTTATATTTATTCATTTAACAATGAATTTAACTGTTTCATTACCTGGTACTATGCAAAGCACTAAGTATAGAGTAGTAAATAAGACAGACATAATTCCTCCCCTCTTGGAGTTCACATTGTAATGGGAGAGACACTGACCAAGTATTTCAGTACATTGATAACATTGAGTGGGCTCATAACGAAAAGCCCTGCTGAGAATCATTTTGTAAAACAGAAAATCCTTCTGAGTAGGAGTTCCATTTGTTAAAATTTGTCCTCCATGTTCCTGAAAAACTATTAGTATTATATCTGTCCTCTTGAAGGTAATTAAAGCACTTATCATGTAAAATTAATTAGAATGTGCATAACTAAAATTATAACGAGGCCTACTTCATGCTTCCTAGTTGTATGTTTTCCTTTCAAATGTAATCACTGTTGGGTTTTATTGTCTTTCAGCCTAGTATATATTGCTAATGTACAATGTTTATTTTTGGTCTAGAAGTCTATTATCTGAAGAGACAGTTCAACTACATTCAGAAAGTAAGGTATGGAATCATACTTTGTGAATGCAACTGCATTCTATTGAAATTAGGTGATTTTTATATGCTTTTCTTAGACAAAACAGAAAAGGGGGTCTTACTTATAGAGAAAGAAAATAAACCTTAATATACAGAAGAAAAGTCTTCATGAAATGTTCATAAAAGAAATTGAGTCATGTTTTGTCTTGCTTCACTGAACAGTTTACATTGGAAAAAATTCTATATGAAATAGATGTATAACCAAAGGAATTTTTTAGTTTTCCCTAGAAAACCAAGGTATTAATTTTCCCTTTATGCTATGTGGAAGATCTAAGAAAATTACTCATCTACGAAGAACTTTTATTCATTAATTTTAAATATTTACAGTGTTGAGATCACTATTCCAGGTGCTGGGCATACCAGCATCTACAAGGTCCCCATCTGTGGAAATCAGGGCCAAGGGACGAGTATAAGTAAAAGTCCTGTCTGGGGAATTATTAGCGCCAAGTTAAGTACTGTGAGTCAGAGCATCTGGTTTAATTTCCTCCAGCAAGATGAATATTCTTAAGTCTATGGGACTCATTTTCTTTATCTTTGAATCTTAGTTCTAGTGATATTTAGATCTTTCCCAGGTAATATAATTCTGTGATTCTTTAAAATTGATTCTGTGAGAATAGCAATTCTTTTTTTAAATTTTAGTATGTTTATTTTTACATCCTTTTGTGTCTTTCTCCATCTCAGTTGTAATCCCTGTGGGCTTTCCATCACCAAATCACCCATGTGTCATCACTATAGTCCAGGGCACTTCCCTTCCCCACCCCCATTTTTTGATCCCATTCCCACTCAACCCCCGTAAAATGTCTCTGGTACATAGCTATTCATTATTATTACTTTTTTTCTACCCTCTGGTCCTTTGTTACTGCTATTAGTGAAACCATCTAGTATTTTTCTTTTTCTTTCTGGCAAATTTCACTGAACGTGATCCCTTCCATCTCCATCCATGTTGCTGCAAAAGGCATGAGTTTATCTTTTTGATTGCTGAGTAATTTTCTATTGTGTACATGTGTACATGTACCACATCTTTTTAATTCATTCATCTACTTTTGGGTATGTGGGTTGACTCTATGTCTTTCCTATTGTAAATAAGGCAGCAATAAACATGGGGGTGTAGGTGTCTTTTTAAATCAGTGTTTTTGTGTCTTTTGGGTAGATACCTAGGAGTGGGATTGCTGGGTCCTATGGAAGCTACATTTTTAGTAGTTTGAGAAGCCTCCAAATAGTTTTCCATAGTGATGATACTAGTTTGCTTTCCCACCAGCAGTACAGGAGAGTTCCTTTTTCTCTACATCCTCGCCAACATTTGTTGTTGCTAGTTGTTTTAAGGTGTGCCAAGAGAATAGCTATTCTTTTATGTAGAAAACTAACAGTTCTGTGTGTTACAAAGTGCTTTTTTGGACAAGTGATTAGAATCTAATTAATCAGTATTTTAAAATTCTTTTCATATAGCCAAAGACCAAAAACATTGATCCAGTAAATAAGGTTCAAAACAAAGTATTCTCTTCAAATAAAGGAAGAAAAACAAAATCAAGGTATAGTACACTTTTATAAAAATTAGTTTCATATTTTTAGTTACATAATTCACAGTATCATCATTCTTAACTATTGAACTCTATTTCTCCAAATCTTTTTATACCCAAAATTTGTAAATTACACTGTATATATTTTACTAAACTTCAATAATTTAAAATATTTTATACTCAGAAATGTCTTACTGCAATGAACATTTTTTATTATTCTTTAAAGCAAAAGTGCCACATTTGAAATTTTTAAATGTCAGTGAGATCTTTTCTTAGAACTATGACTAGTACCTAGATATCTGTCTCTGCCTAATTTTCTCAAATAGACTAAATTGTCTTACTGTTTGAGTACTATACATTATTGAGTCTATTTAGATACAGATGATTATTTGACCTCTAAATAAAGACTATAGTATAACTGTAATTTATACTTCATTGTGTCTTGGTGAAAAAGAATTCAAGGCATAAAATACGGGCCAAGAGGTTTGCTAGAATAGATTTTCTAGAAAAGGAGGGTGACACTTGCAGTGGGTTATGCCAGTCAGCTTCTTATTCACAGTAAGTTATTAAATTTGTAAGCCTACCACTTGTCCAAATAAATAATTACACACACTTCTGGAAAAAATCTTTGTTGCTAATTCTTATATCTGTTAGTTGGTTAAATAACGTTTTTTAATAGCGAAAAAAAGTGAGGGACAGGAAAAGAAAAATCTAAATTTGATAGGAGAAAAGAGAACTTTCTCTCTCTCTCTCTAGAAATATATATATATATATATATATATATATGTTTGTGTGTGTATTTATTTGTATATATGTGTGTATGTCCACACATGCATAACTAAAAAGGGTTAACCTATTTTAGTTTTGAAAGTAAAGGTTGTTTTTCGAAATGGAATTCTGAAGCCTTTGTTTATATGTTAAAAGTTAAAGTAATTAAAAATGAAAAGTCTTTTAGAGACAAAAACTTGATGTATTAGACATCACCTATTCTTCAGTGTCTTTAGAAGTGACTTTATTTCATATTTCCTCCATTAATTTATTAAACAATCAAAATTCACCTTTTTGGTGAGCGTTGATGCTGTTTAGAGTATATTTCTCAGGCCCTCCATGCTGGTGCAGTGGGTTAAAGCGCAGTACTATGAAGCTGTTACAGCCACTGCAGCACAAGTTCGATCCCCAGCCAAGGAGGTGACCCACATGGTGTGGCAGAACTCTCCTGTCTTGCCCATTACTCCCCTCAGCAGTGGATTTCAGTACATCTGCCTGTTCTGCTTCCCACTCTGTCTCTAGTGAATCCTCTCACCCCTCACAGCTCTTGCCTGTACCCCAGTTCTGTACGCATAAATAAATACATCTTTTTTTAAAATGTTGCTATAGGTAGAAAAGAATTGCCTGATTGTGCTAGTAATTTTTTACTCTGTAATTCTTTCTCTAGAGTTCACTGTTTGCAAAACTATGGCTAGATACCATTTTGTACTGTTCTTTTCCAGTAGCAGGTAAAATAAAAGCCAAACTCTGGATTTGACATAGAAGGCTAAGTTCGTTTGTTTGGAGGCAATGTCTGAATAGCCTTATAAAACCTTGTTTAGCATTGTGGTTGTATGAGTCACAACAACTGAAAGTGTTCTAAATCCTTTATAGTCTTTCCACATATCAATTATTGATTTCATCATAAATTTTTTGAAAGATTTATTTACTTATGTATATAAGAACTGCAGTACCGGCCAGAGGTGCAGGGGTGAGAGGATTCACCAGAGACAGAGTAGGGTACAAAGCAGGCAGATTAACTAAAATACACTGATGAGGGGAGCAGTGGGTGAGGCAGGAGAGGTCTGCTGCACCATGTGGGTCAGCTCCCTGGCTGGGATTGAACTTGTGCTGCAGTGGCTAGGAATAGCTTCTTAGTGCTTAGACTTAGCCCCTCATGTCATCAAGGAAAACAGTTTAAAATTTATAATTTAATCTGTTGGATATTTGATTAAGTCATATATGGAAGTAATCTCATTAATATGTATGTGCTTTTAATATATATCTATATTGATTTTTTCAGTGTAAAATTGAAATTCTCTAATGTGCAAACTGCCAGTGATGTTGCCATACCAGATGATTTCTCAGACTTTTCTCTTGCAAAAACAATTAGCAAAATTGAAGGACAAATGGAAGAAGGCCTGTCTGATTACGAAGATGATGATATTTTTTGTGGTGTTAGTAAGGACATTGGAACAGGTAGATTTTCTTTTATTTCTACCTTATAGTTACTTAGAAAAAATATGTAAACGCTATTTTTCCTGCATTTAAAAATTATTGTGGTATCTTGTTTTTGTTTCAAAATCTAGTGGGACATGACAGTGAGAGGAATGAATAGAATAATAGATGAAACAAAATTGAGTCTGTAATTGTGGAATATGGGTGATAGATAATTAGGGTTTTATTGCACTAATGTCTGCACTTTTATGTTTTATTTCATATTTTCCATTATAAAATGTAAAAATAGATACTATATAGTATTGGTTTCATTGGTAACTTTTTACTAAGGTTAAAATGTCTCATAGCTTATTAAAATTTAAAAAAGAAAAAACAGCTTTGAATTCCTTTCATTAAATGTTTCTTTATTTATTGCATGTTAAATCAATACATGTAAAAGAGTAAGTGAATTATTAATGAAACTTAAGGTAAAATAATCCAATGAGTTTTCTAGTGAGTATAATTTCCTATAAACTGCTTACTTCTAAAAAATGATAAATTCTGATCATCTAAAAGTGTTCTGTTAGTTGCCAGTCATTTCTCTAAAATTGTTGAAGTTATGAGGAACTACCAGTGTTATTATAAACAAAAAATGAGTGTATATGAACATAGTTAATACTTAATTGTGACGTTCGGCTGATCACTTGGCTCCTCTGTAGCAGAAATTTCTTCATTTGAAAATTAAGCAGCGTGTATTAAGTGATCATGAAGTTTATCTTTAAAATTCCATCATGATTCAAAAAAAATCCATGAGTTTTGAAAATCATAATTTGTATGTGCAATGATTTGTGTGGTATATGTTAGTCATGAATGAGGAGTTCACTTAATGCATATATCACACTCCTGACCTAGTCATACTTTCTGAGGCTAGTTGTCTGGAGGGCATGTAGGTAGAGCACGAAGTTGCCTTTATGTTTCTGTTAAGATGCTTTAAAGAACACATGGTTGGTTATTAGCTGTTCCTCAGGACAGTTACCTATGGATGGCTCTTTAACATTGTTCCTACTCCGAGGTTTAGGGGACCAATACAAACTGACTATCTAAAATGGCTACTTTCTTCTTATTTCTGAATCACTTCCCGCCCCCCCCTTTGCCTGTCTGTTCCCTATGCCCAATCTTTGATCTAGTTGTCTGCTCATTTGGGAGAGCTTTTTCTTAGTTCAGATGATTGTCTGTAGTGGCTGGGTTATGTGGGTGGTGAAAAGATCAAAAAGCAGAGTTTAGTAGCATAGACTACTTATTAAGACTAAAGTTGGGAAGGTTAATGATGTGGATTTCATGAGATGAGACCACTCCTGAGAAAATATTGAGGTTACAGTGGGGAGAGAAAGAAATGGGAAGAATCGTGTTTTTCTGTTCCTTTGTCTTCCTTCTCCCCTAGACACCAAATGCTGAAAATTTCACACTTTAAAATGTGTCATTTTCTTTTTATTTCTTCTGCTAAGCCGGAGTTACGTGAGAAGCCAGAAGGAATATTGAGGCTAGTGATGTCTAAACAGGGTTAGAGCCTATATAGTTGGTGAATTTGTGAAAACCTGGAAGCTTTGGAATAGGAATTATCTATGGAAAGTTTCTGTGCTGTGCAGGAGGTAACTTAATGACTTCTCAGAGCCAATGCAGAGTATTTATTCATGATAAGCTTCATGAGGGCAAAGTTTGTCTTATGTCACTGCTGTGCCTAGAATATAGTAGAAACTCAATGTTTTTTTTTTCAGTGAAGCTTGAATAAATTAGAGATGTTTTAACTTTATAGGTTTATAAAATTAACAAAAACTAAACTTCAGATTTATTGCTGAGATTATTGAATAACTCTTGTTAGCAATGAAATAAATAAGGTAGATTTTTAGAAGGGTTTGTAGGAGAAAGCTTCAGTGGTGAGATATCATTATATTTCTTTACTTCTAAATTACATATATTACATGGAATGGGTGTTACTGTCAGGGGCATTTTGTTGTCACAGTAACCAGTACTGAAACTGACTTTTGCTAGGGAAAATTTGTTTTTTTCAGACACTGGGGTATTAACCCACCTGCAACCACTTTAAATTCTGCTTAAGGTATTTTAAACCACTTTGTTACATATGAATTCAGTCTGCAAACTTAGGTGAGACTAATTTGAAATTCAGATTCAGATCTTCAGTCCAGTATACTATTCTGCCCCCTTTCTTTACTGCCAGTGTTGAAGAAACCCTTCCTTTCTTTTGGGTGGATTTGTTCTTTAATGTTCCCACTAAGGGATCTCCTGCAAGACTCTCCATCTTGAGTTTTTTTTCACCTCATAAAATAATGGTTTGTTTACATTTGATGATATCTGAGATTTAGTGAAGTACAATGAATACAATTACTTCATTCCACAGAAGCACAGATCAGATTTCTAAAGGCCAAACTTCGTGTTATGCAGGAGGAATTGGATAATGTTGTATGTGAATGTAATAAAAAGGTAAGTTTAAAAACGTCTCAAAATAAATCTCCTAATGCAAACATTTCAGGAACAATTTAAGTTATATATTAGAAATAGTTTAAGATACATTTCAAAGTTAAATTTTGAATTAAAAAGTTGTAAGAACTGAACTTTATTCTGGAATGTTAAATTTTTAGAACTATAGAACTTTAAATAATTGGTAGCAATTATAATTCTCTTTATATAATTCTTTTATATAAATCTCTTTACAAGTGTAAGCTAATAAATACTAACAAAGCATCTGACTTCTATTTTTTTGAAGATGAAGATGCAATAATTTATTTTTTCTAATGACATAGGTACTATCAAATAAAGCCTGAAGCTGTTTTGTTCCCTGTTTTGTTTGATGCTAAATTCCACATGTTTATTCATATAATCTCAAATTTCATAAATATAGGAAGATGAAATTCAGGATTTAAAGTCTCAAGTAAAAGATTTTGAAGGTGACTGTGTGAGACAGCAACGAACAATTAATTTGCAGCAATCTCAAGCAGAAAAATATAAAACTCTTTTTGAAGAAGCAATCAAAAAATGTGATGGATTACAGCAACAGCTTTCTTCAGTAGAAAGGGTAATAATTTGCAATTTTCCTAACCTAATGCCAAAATACACTAAAACATTGAAGTTATATGTTTGTATAGATATCACTTTTGGTTATTCAGTTATTTTGTTAGTATTTGCTAGATATTTGCTTGTATTTAGTATGTTTTTTTTTTTTTTTTTAAGATTTATTTATTTGTGCATCCAGAACTGGGGTACAGGCCAGAGGCTCAGGGGCGGTGAGAGGCTTCACCAGAGACAGAGTGGGGAGCAGAACAGGCAGATCGAGGAGGTACATTGCTGAGGGGAGCAGCGGGTGGGTCAGGAGAGGTCTGCCACACCATGTGGTCACCTCCGGGGCAGGCGGGAATGGAACTCATGCTGAGGTGGCTTTAGATTCTCAGTGCAGTGCTTTAACCCGCTGCGCCACCAGGGAGGGCCCGTATTTAGTATGTTAGTATTTGGTAGTAATTGTTCTCCAGATGTAGAAATTTTTTTTTAATAGCTTTATTGAGATTCACACCCAGTATATCTGACTGTTAAGTAATTTGGTAACTTTCCACTTACTCTAAGTTGTGCAGCTATCACAGAACATTTTTATCATCCCCAAAGGACAATCCCATACCCTTTAGCCACCAGAGCTAAACTTTCGGCCCTCCCTGGTGGCGCAGTGAGTTGGAGCATAACTGCAAATTTGGCTGTGGCCGCCTCAGTGCGAGTTCGACCCGCCACCCCAGGGGTGACTCACATGGCAAGCAAACCTGTCCTGTCTTGCCCTCTGCTCCCCTCAGCAGTGTACTTCATCGATCTGCCTATTCTGCTCCCCAGTCTGTCTCTGGTGAAGCCTTTCACCCGCCACACCTCTGGCCTGTGCCCCAGTTATGTATGCATAAATCAAATCTTAAAATTAAAAAAAAAGCTACACTTTCATCCTCAGTCCCCACCAGCCCTAGGCAATTTCTAATCTATTTCTTGTCTTGATAAATTTGCCTATTCTGGACATTTTCATATGTATAGAATCATACAATATATGGCATTTTGTGACTGATACTTTGCTTGACATAATTCCTTAAGGTTCTTGCACATTGTAGTGCATATTAATACTTCATTCCTGCTTATAGTTTAATATTCCTATTTGTGAGTATAACATGTTATTTCTCTGATCAGTTGATGGATATTTGGTTGTTTCTCCTTTTTTTTTTGGCTGCTTTGATGCAGCTAAGAACACAACTTTTTGTGTAGCTATGTTTTCATTTCTCTTGGGTGTATATCTAAGAGTAGAATTGCTGGTAACTTATATTTAACCTTTTGCAGGACAGCTGTTTCTTTCCCCTCATTTGAAATTATTTCATGTTGTAGCCTTTTCCTCCCCATTACTGAGTGATGTAACATTGTATGAATATACCACATTTGCCTACATCCATAGAAATAAAAATTGCAGCATCTAATAGCCGAAGCCTGTGCAGTACATTACAGTAGCCACTCACCATGTGCGGTTAATTCAATCAGTGACTTGCTCTAGGTGTAAAATGAACATCAGATTTTGAAGATGTTAATACAAAAGAAAAGAATCTTTAAAGAAGATAAAATAAACTCAGTAGTTTTACACCGGTTACATGTAGAAATTATAATATGGGAATAGTAGTATGTTGTCATCAACACTTGGTATTGTCAATTTAATTTTACCCATTCTGGAGGCATAAGAATAGATCTGCTATAGTTCAATTTGTACTGCCTTTGTAACTGTTGATCTTTGGACATTTTTCATATGCTTATAGACCATTCAGAGAAATTCTTTGTGGTGATGTATCTGTAGTAAGAGTTTTTCTTATATATTTATCTCTGTAATTCCTTTGCTAGAAGAATATGTATTGTGAAAGGCTTTCCCAGTCAGATGTCAGATGTGACTTTATTTTTTTCAGTGTCTTTCAATAAGGAGCAGTTTTTTTTTTTTTTGCAGTAATACTGTTTTATGAGCAACTTTTAATTTTGTTGACTTCATATAGACATAATGAACAGTGGTTTTCTTCCCCAACCTTTGCCTACCCTAAATGCTTTCTTTTTTTTTTTTAAATTTTATAATAGTTTATTTTTACATATTTTTGTGCATTTTTCCATCTAAGTTGCAATCCCCTTGGGTTTCCCATCACCATATCACCCATGTGCCATCATCATAGTCCAGTGCATTTCCCTCCCCCCACTGTTTTTGATCCCATTCCCCACTACACCCCCACAAAAATGTCTCTGGTATATAGCTGTTCATCATTATCATTATTTTCTTGCCTGGTCCATTATATTCCTGCTATGAGAGAAACCATCCGGTATTTTTCCTTTTCTTTCTGGCTTATTTCACTAAGCATGTGATCTTTTCCAGCTCTATCCATGTTGCTGCAAAAGACATGTTTCCTTTTTTTGGTTGCCTAATATTCCAGTGTGTATATGTACCACATCTTTTTAATCCAGTCATCCAGTTTTGGGTACCAAATGCTTTCTTAAAGTTTATGGTTTTATCTCGTGTGTGTGTGTGTATAATTCATAAAAATTTGTAATTTATTTCAAGTATATATGGCATAAGGATAGGGTTGATTCATCTTATTTTTTTCCATGCAGGTTATCAGTATTTATTGAAAATATTCTTTCCATTTAAGTATCACATCTGTGTAGAAAATGTATTGAGTCTATGTAGATCTTTTTCTGGACAGTTGTTAAATTTATGTTTGACAGAGTTCATTGTTAAAACCATATAAATTGGAGACTACTTCACAAAAGATTTTAATTATCAATTTAATTTATTTAGTACATATGTCTTTTTAATTTTCTGTTCCTACTTGAATTTCCATGTTTTGCAGCAACACCACAGTGACTATTATAATCCTTAATAAAACTAAGATCAGTGCAAATACTAAACTCTTACACCCTACTAAAATGCTTACAAAGACATCCCATGTTATTCAGAACAAAACCCGGATACGTAGGCAGTGGTTACAAAATCACCCAAGCTTACCCTGCCTGTTGAACCTACCTCACTGTGGCTACGTCACCCAGCAGAAAACACTCTAGCCACCTAGGGAATCTTTTAACATGCCAAAAAGATCTCTGTGCCTCAGTGTCTTCATCTTCATTATTCTTTCAGTTTGTAATTCTTTCCTCCAGATTGTTAAGAAATCACCCTCTCATTTGGAAATCTTTCACTAAATTTATCATCTTACATTATTATACCCTTCACCATTGCTGTTTTCTTAGCTTTATTTTGGATAATAGCCCTTATCACTACCAGATATTAACTCAATGTGTCTGTATGTGGTTTTGTCATGTGTTGTCCACTAGAATGCAAGTTTTATGAGAGGAAGAACTTTTATTGTGTGCCCATCGTGTAGAATATACCTAGAAAGTGCTCAATAAATGTGTGACTAAGTAAAATCTATTATGTATATATAATGTCACTGCCAATTTCAGTTATGGAAACTGAGTCTCACAACTGACAGTCTTTCCTACTCCAAGCCCTTTGGTTGTTCTATCTTAGCCACTTGATTTTAGAACCTTATCTCATTTATTTGTCCACATCTGATTTTTCCTCATTTGACTCTGGCAATTTGTTTTACTCCATTTTGTCTTGTGCTATGACAACTAATACTTCTCTTTCCTCTTGCCCTTTTCCAGTATCTTATGAATATTGAAAAGTTACTCAAGAAAGACAAATTCTTTGTTCTTGAATTTCATGCATAGCATTTGAGTTTCAAAGTTAGACTTGATTCACCTTAAGTTGTTCAGCTTTTAATTTTAAAACTAACACATTAGGGCTTGAGAGTTTTTATAATTTTTTTTTCTCTAGGAACATATAAATTACTTAAATTTTGGTAAGCATAGATCTTTATTTTCTATGTTCAAGATACAGGTTCTCAAAACAATATTAATGTCTTACCTGCGCTTTGTAAAAAGTGTGCTTGAAAACGAAGCCAAATGTTTTCAAGATTGTTGAATGAATTTACTCATGTAGAACAACTATTTCCTACTTCGTTTTTCTTTTTCACTTTTCTCAAGAAGTATGCATTCCTATCTCTCAAGGGAGATAGGAGAGATTCAGGTACTCTCAGGATTGTACAAAATAGATGTAGAGGTGGGGGGTTGTCTTGTGGTGAAGGATGCTTTTCATTTTTCTATAAAGAGAAAGAAAAAAAAAGAGAAAGGCAAAGATATATTTTCTTATTCTTAGGGAGGAAGCTGAAATGACAGCAAGAATTGTGGACACAGTAGCTAATGAGAAGCTTTGTCTTTTCTGTGTGAGCAGTGAGATAAATCAGGCTTCTCTTAGTGTAGCTACCACCCACAAAGCTGTGAAGAAGGCTGGTGATAGCAGATGGTATCCATACACAGTTTGATTTGTTTAGAAGCCTACATAAAGAGCAGCATGTGTTTTGTTTTGTTTTGTTTTGTTTTGCCCTTAATTACTCAGAGCCAGAGAGATCAGTTTTCAAATAAAACACAGTGATACAGCCAGGAGAAAAATTTTAAAAGAAGAGAACAGACAACTGTATTTTTAACGCCATCATTTCAATTCAATTCCATGTAATTTATTATCTCTCTAAGGTTTTTGTATTAGGCATTATAGGAGGTGCAAAGAAGAGTGAGTTAAGTATTACAAAATAAATTCAGTTCAGTAAATGTCATTAGAACCTTTTCTGTGGCACTAAAACACTGGATAAGAAATTCTTGTGGGTGAGGGGAATAAAGTAATGGATAATTTCAATTCCATACAGCAGCTTCTATAATATATATATATATATATATAGAGAGAGAGAGAGAGAGAGAGATACTGTTAAAACTCCGTGGAAAGATTACTTGAGCCAACCTGAGAGGATAGTGCAGAAAGGTTTCTTGTAGGATACTCATGTGTGAAACTCTCACATGTATTCTGAGTGGGATCTTAAGGATGGCAGATGTTATCAGATACCAGTGAGGAACAGGGAGGGATGGAGGCAGAAGGAGAGCATGAGCACAGGCTTGGGGGCAAGAGAGTTTCAGGTACTGTTAATCTAGCTGGAGAACACCTCTATGACAGGTTTGTGATTATGGCGGTGTTTGGAGTTCATCCTTCATGTTTGTGTTTACTCAGTATGGTCTGTTGACTCCTGTAGCAGCATCTTATCTGCAGAAATTAAATTCTACACCTATCCCACAATGTGGAAAATAAGTTTGGTTGTTTGTGATTAAAATTTAATTTTTTTCCTTGAGGCTAAATAAGGTAGAATGATCTGTATCTAAGTATTCTTAGATGATAGACTTTGTCAGGTATTTATGAAAATTTGTTTTGCATTGGCATTTTGGGAAGTTCCCAAAGGAAGAACTGTAACTAGGTGAAGAATTGACTGTGAAGTAAACATAGAAAACATGTATATTGTTATCTTAGGGTCAATAAAAAGAAAAATCTAAACAAAAGGTGATGTTGAAACCTAATTTGTGACTACATTTTTAACAGTAAATTTTCCTCATCTCAATTCCGGGTAGGAATTCCCTGAGACCTCCATGTTCAGCTTCTGAGTGTGTGTGTGTGTGTGTGTGTGTGTGTGTGTGTGTGTGTGTGTGTGTAAAATTTGAGAGGAATATGTAAATGTGAAATGTTGCAAAATTAAACTTGTAACACATTTATAAAGTTCCATATACCTCTTCACTGTACAGGAATTAGAAAATAAAAGAAGATTACAAAAACAGGCTGCCACTTTACAAAGTGCTACAGAAGTTCGCTTGAATAGAGCTCTAGAAGAAGCAGAAAAGTATAAATCGGAGTTAAGTAAATTAAGGCAAAATAACAAGGTATGGAAAATTTAATACTTTTGGTAGTGATCACTTTTATAGTGACAACTCTTCGGAGGAGTCTTTGCTTTTATCATTCAACAAATCATCATTATATGCTATGGTAGAAAGAAGTCTCATCTGTCTCAAATCTGTTACATCCTCCTCTGGGCCTCGAATTCCTAATATATAATAATGGAAGGAGCTATTTTAAGGGTATTGTTTTCAAACTTGACCTCATATCAGAATCATCTGGAGAGTTTGGTCAAACATGGCTGCACACCACTCCCTGAGTTTGAGTCAGTAGTTTCTGTCATAAGGCCTGAGAAGGTGCAGTTTTATTTACAAAATTCCTAAGTGATGGTGACGCTGTTGTTTCTGCAAGGTCACTTGGATTACATCCCTGTTAGAGCTCTGGTAAGGACTATCATGGTAACCCCAATATCTGATCACTGCCTGGCATAGAATTGGCATTCTACCCCCTAATATCTGTCAAAAAAATGAAGGCTCCAATAGTGTATGAAAGCCTTTTGTACAGTCTTTAAATATTGGCCATCAGCTTTTGGCGCTGTGTCAATCTTAAAGTAATGTTTCATCGAAATCTTTCCCTTAGGATAATATGTGACAATTAACACATCTTAGATGATTAAATTAGGAATCACCCTTGTTATATACACAGATGATACCTTTGAGATTAATTTAGTAACACTTAATGGAACATCAAACTGAAGTGATCATGGTGAGTCCCCAACATGTTTAACAAAAGTAAATGTTAATGACTACACAGTTACTCTGTGATAGTTTATATTTGCAGACTTTGTTCATGTGTAAGAGACAATGATGACTGGAATTTAATAATAGATTTGTAATAGAAGGATTAAACAAACAATTGACAAAATCTTTACATCTTTATTTGTCCATTATTAGCTGTTATTAGAGAATGCGCCAATTTGGTACATTCTAAAAGGGATTTTGAAGAGAATAAAATAGAATAGCCATGTATGTGTCAGGATTTGCTGGTTTTGGTTGTAAGTTTGGCTTCTTTACACATTAAAGAAGTAGAGAAAAAAATTGTTTCTATGATGACACACAATTCTAAATCTAACCAGCCATTCCGTGAATTCAAGCTACAGGAACTTGGTATGTAAATAATTGAGTTCAAGACCATAAAAACTATTATAAAACTACTTGTAAGTATTCTTACTCAAACTTCTTACCCCAAGTCTACATTATGTGTGATTGATTTAAACGCAGTGAGATATATTGTCTATATAAACCCACTATTTGCTATCAAGTTAGACATTTTGGGATCAGAATTTTTAAATGTTTCTGGAAAAAAGTATCTTAAATTTGATTTTTTTTCCAACTATTTTGCCTACTTTATCCTTGAAGTTTCTGGGATATGAATTAAGTTTTTGCTTGGAGTCAAATTTGTATGTGAATTTTTCTTTTGTGATGGATATATTCTTCCATGTTAATTCTTTGAATATTCTCTTTCTGACCAGACATAATTATTGTTAGGTAGAGAATTAAAATTATTCAGGTCTATATGTTTTAAGAAATTATTCTGGTCTATATGTTTAAGAAATATAAAGTTTCCATGCAATAGCATAAAATTGTCATTAGAAAACCATTTATTTAAAAATAATAAACTTATTGTTCATAGAAACTGGGAAACAATCTTTTTTGAAACAAAAAATCACTTAAACCAGATGTTATTTTAGTGTAGAGGCCCTGATGTTTGTTCACATTGTCCTATTGCCTAGAACATAGTGATTGTCTGTGAAACACTGAAAGAAGGACTGATGAAAGACAACTGGGTGATAGTTAAGCTGGAATTCTATTTAAACTTGATTTCTCAGTGTCTTCTGTGAATTGGAAGTATGACGTTGATTGGGATCCGTCAGAATGGGTGCAGGTAGGCTGGTTAAGAGCAGCAGTGTATATGAGAGATGATATAACTTGGACTAAACTGACAGTGGTAAAAATGGAAAGAAACTAAGTATCAAAATTGGATTTAAGAGGGAAAAATCACTGTGACTTGATAATGAACAGGATATGTGGGAATGAAATTGTGGGGAAGAAAGCTTACAGGACTTTTTTTTTTTCCTTTGAGAACCAAATAGTGTCATGCACTAAAATGTGAAATAATAGAAGTTTAGAGAAGATTGAGTTATTTTAAATTTGAAGTTATTCTGAGATGTCCAAGGAGAGAGATCAAAATTTGGTATGGTAACAGAAGGTACTAACACATGCAAAGAGTTAGCAATTAATGCCATTTTTGTGGACTAGAAAGATAGAGGAGAGAGTAAAACAGGGCCTAGAAGAATCCCATTATTTAAAAAAAAAAAAAAAAAAGTCAAGAATGTTAAATACTGCCAAGAGGTAAAGTTTTATGAATTCTGGGGGGGAAAAAATGCTAGGTTTAACAACACAGAAGTCACCTTAGAAATGTTTTGGTTGAACAAGAGAGAAGCTAAATTCAAGAGGGGGATGAAAAATGATTGCAGGCGAGAGTTTTCTGTGTCTGTTATCTGGTCATGTGCGGATCTGACAAGTTTCCTTTTTTTTTTTTTTAAGATTTATTTATTTATGCTTACAGAACTTGGGTAACAGGCCAGAGATGTGGTAGGTGAGAGGATTCACCAGAGAGAGTGGGGAGCAGAACAAGCAGATCTACTGAAATACACTGCTGAGGGGAGCAGCAGGCGGGCCAGGAGAGGTGTGCCAGCCATGTGGGTCAGCTCCCTGGCCAGGAATCAAATTCCTGCTGCAGTGGCTTCAGAGCGCTTAGTAATGCGGTGCTTTACCCCATTGCGCCACCAGGGAGAGCCTGAGTTTCCCTTTTTAATCTGAATTTCTTTTATGTTTTCCTCTTGCCTCTTTGCTCTAGTTTGGATTTCCAATACTATGTTGAATAATAGTGCTGAGAGAAGGCATCCTCTTGATGTATCTTATTCTTAGAGGAATAACTTTCAGTTTTTCTCATTGAGTCTGATGTAAGCTGTGGGTTTGTTAAGCCCTTTATTCCATCCCTATTTTTTGAGAGTTTTTATCAGGAATGAACTTCAAATTTTGTCAGATGCCTTCTTTACATCTATTGATATGATCATGTGATTTTTATTTTTCCTTTTGTTGATGTGAATGGTATTGTTTGAATTTCATACATTGAACCATCCTTAAATCATTGTAATAAATCCTCCATCATTATTGTATGATCCTTTTTTTTTAAGATATATTTATTCATACAGAACTGGGGTACAGGCCAGAGATGCGGAGGGTGAGAGGACTCACCAGGGACAGAGTGGGGAGCAGAACAGGCAAATCGATGAAGTACACTGCTGAGGGGAGCAGCGGGAGGGTCAGGAGAGGTCTGCCGCGCCATGTGATCACCTCCGGGGCCGGTGGGAATCAAACTCATGCGGAAGTGGCTTAAGCTTCTTAGTGCTGTGCTTTAACCCGCTACGCCACCAGGGAGAGGGTCCTGTTAGTTTGTATTTTAAGCGACCCCACTTTGTGAGCCTAGCTAGAGCTTGGTCTGTTATACTTATGTTTTGAAATGGACTATTTTTGGGTTTCATTGATCTTTTGTACTGTCTTTATAACTTCTATTTTATTTATATCCACTCCGATTTTTTCCCCCTTTCTACTGGCTTTTGATTTCATTTGTTCTTGTTCTATTTCCTTAAGGTATAAATGTACATTGAGATCTTTTTTGTTTCTTGTTATGGGCCTGTGTTGTTATATAAACCCCTCTTAGCATGGCTTTCGTGTTATTCCATAAGTTCTAATAACTATGTCTTTAATTTTCGTTGTCTTCAGGTGTTTTTTTTAAACTTACATTTTGATTTCCTTATTAACCCAACAGTCATTCATTAGTGTTAGTCTCCACATATGTGAGCTTTTCCCACTTTTATTTTTGTGGTTGATTTCTAGTTTGATATGATTGTGTCAGAGAATATCCTTAATATATTTTCAGTATTTATACTTGTTTTGTAACCCAACATAGTCTGTCTTCAAGAGTGATCTGGTCTTCTTAGTGTGTATATGAAGATTGTGTACTTAGTTATTTGGCTGTGTAAGTATCTGCTAAGCCTATCTGGTCTAACTCTGCACTTGATGATATTGTATCTTGTTAATTTTCTGTCTGGTTGATCTGACCATTGATATAAGTTGGGTGGTGGAGTACCTTACTGTTGTGCTGCTGTCAGTGCCTGCTTTTTGTAATAGTTGGTAAATAAATATTTTGATACTCCTTCACTTAAATCAATGAGTGTTATGTTCTCCTGATTTATTTATCCCTTATTAATCATAGTGTATACCTACCTTTTCTTAGCTTTTATACCTGGAAGTCTATTTTAGCTACTATTTCTGTGACTTTCCCTGCTTTTAGGTACCATTTCCTTGAGGGTTGTTTTCCAACATTTGAGCTGATGTTTAACTTTGGATCTCAGATGAGTCTAGGAAAGACAGCAGTAAGTTGGATTTTATTTTCTAATCCAACCAGCCACTTTGTGCCTTTTGATCCATTAGTGCAGTCTATTTACATTAGAGGTGATTACTTATATATGAGAAATTGCTAGTGATATTTTCTCTTGGCTTTTCTTTTTCTTTTCACAATTTTTAAAAAAAATCTTTCTGCAAAAAAAGAAAAAATCTTTCTGCACTATGATTTAGGTAGAATTCCTTTCAAAATTTCTTAGAGGATGTACCATAGTGGCAAACTATTCCAGCATGTGTTTGTCTATGAGAGTCTTTGTTTCTCCCTCATATCTGAAAGAAAGTCTTGTGGGAAAGAGTTTTCTTGACCTGAAGTTTTCATCTAAGTATTTTGAATATGTCATTCCAGTCTCTTTTTGCCTATAGAGTTTTCTGCTGAGAAGTCTGATAAGCATAGTGGGAGTATATTTGTAAGTTCCCCTCTTTGTTTCCCAAATTGCCTTAAATATTCATTATTAGGTTTGATATGTTGGTAGTTTCATTATGATATGCCTTGATTTAAGTTGCTTTTCATTTAGGTA